TCTATCGGAAGACACCTATGCAGTTATATTTTTCAAATGTTCAGTTATCTTCATATATCAAATGGGAATTATTTTTACAGTTATTAACTTTGTTGCAATCTGTTAGGGCCTTGACCGGTGGATTTGATATTATAGTTTCCGGAGTTGTTGGACTTGATTATTTTTCTATAACTAGGATGTTATATGCAAAGAAAAAAGGATACTTGCTTTTCATGTGTCACCTCATACTAACATGTTCTATAAACAGGATTATTTTGCTTCACGTTCCATGAATCAAACAGTGAATCTTGTGCGGAATAAGCTTGATAAGGTGATGTCTCCCACCGCATAATATGTTTTAGGATCATTTTTTTTTGTGGCAGTCTGAAACAATTTTTTCTTTTCATCTAGATTCGATCAAGCGGCGAGCATATACAAGCTGGATCTGTGTCAAAGAAACAACGAGTTGATAATAGGAGGAGAATTTAATCTGTAAATTAAGGTGTACTTTTGTTCTCATCCGCTCTGCTTTAAATTAACCAAACATCGATTAATACGATTTTGGGTATGTGTTAAAGCTCAATCCCCTAGCCTGTAAATGAAAATTTTGACAAGTGAAATTTGAGAACAGTTTCATCCAATTATATTGTGGATTACAGTACATACACTGTACAAAGATTTTATTTTATTTTATTATTATTGTAACTAACTGGTAGCATATCAGCTATCCGTCCAGGTAACAATGCTAGAACACTAGCGGATTCCCAGTCACCTGCAATTTGTTTGCTAGCTTTTTGTTAATGAAGCCACGCCTTCTTATAGTTTCACCTTGTATTGAAATCACATGTTTATTATTTAAATTATAGCAATTAAGGTTTCAATTTGGATTAGTGCTGGTTATTCTGTGCATAAATGATGCAATGGTTCCACAGTCACAGCTTAACTGAGGATGATCCTGTGCCATTGAGTGGGTGCCGCAACAAACATTTCAATTGCATATGTACCAAAAACTTAGTACTTCAACAATTCGGTCTTCCACTTACACCCGTTTGTACTGTATGTTTGACCCTTCAATTTGAAAGGTCCTGTTATGTAAATATAAATAGGATAAAGAATGTTTGTTAGTTAGTCAGTTACTATTAGGATTTTATAGTCGTTGGGTAGTTGCTATAAGTAAAGCATAGGTGTTGTACTTTATACATACTAATAATATATTTGTTGTAGGAGATGGAATAAAATGTACATAGTCTTAGGGTTGAATTATTGTTATTATTGTAATTCTTAGGGATAAAAAGAACACACTAATAATAATAATAATTAAAAATGCATTACTCAGTTCTTTGATGTCTCTATATTCTCGGCTCTATCTCTATTCTGTTTTGTTCTCCCCTCTTCTCTTTTCTTCCCTCTACACTGCCACTCACATCTCCACCATCCAAACCAGCTCAGCAACGTCCTCAAACTGCTTTTGGATATAAATGTATTTTCCTTTTTCTTTTAAAGTCTGTTTGGGTATAGTCTAGAAGAGTTTTTCTATTAAAAATAAAGTTATATGTAAACATGGGTCTAAGTCCAAGACATCCTAGTAAGAGTCTAATTAATAGTCGTCATCATGATGATAACAAGTAGCATGAAAATGTCATCTTCTCTCCATCTTTATTGTTGGCCTTAATGTATGTTGGTTGAGTTCCCTTTTGTTTGTGTACCTTTCCCGGTTGTTAAAAGTGCCAAAGACCTCATTGTTTGCGTTTAGAAACCACCTTTCCTCCATATGCATAGAAATTTGTGCTTTACAAAATGTCAACTAGTGAACTAATATAGGAAATGGTGCCACGTTCATGTGTCTAAGGTTGCTTTTGGGAGCGAAGAAGTAGCAGGGAAGACAAGAGATCCGTAAAGAAGACACTGTTCAAACATTGTTTGGTAGCAAAAAGGCAAGAAGAAAAGCCAAGAAATTCATTAAAAAAAAAAAAAAAACTTCCGCACAAAAGTGAGAAAGTTGATAAAAGTCACTGTACATTCCACTTTTTCTCGTCGATTTACAATTTACATAATGGATTATGCATGTAAACATAATCGATTATGTTTAAGATACTTTGTTTCTCGTTAAATTGCAACATACATTATTAATTATATATATAAATATAATCTATTATAAATATATATATCTATATAAAATTTATATTTTAAAAGTAAATAATTTAAAATATAAAAATTTATCTTCCTTTTATTTTTCCTTTCAAACAATCTTATTTTCACTCTTTTCTCAACTTACTTCTCTTATCTTCTTTTTTCACTATTATTTTTCATCTCTATAAAACACAACATAAATCATAAAAAATTCTAAACCAATGTTTACATAATATTTCATTTAACTTTTACAATTTACGAAAAAAAAATAGTATAATTATTTTAGAAGTCTAAAACTTGCATTTTACTTTATTATATATTATGATTTTAAATATCATATCGAACTTTCAAAACAGGTTTGAATCAAATGAATTAAAAAAAATTGTTTTATTTTTAAAATTTAATTTTAAATATTTTTAGTAAAATACATATTTAAAAATTATAAATTAAAATAAATTATTTT